ATTTCCTTTAGAATTTCATGAAGTCCCTATATAAACCCTCATCCCCGATTTTCCAATTAAGAGTGCAACTAATCCTTCTTTCGTCCATAGAGAAGGCGATTGCAGCTTATTGAATCAACATGACAACGCGAGCATAGGTCATCAAATGTGAGATCGATGGTAGTGATGGCTTCTTTGGCCGGATTTGTCTATGCATTTGTCTCTCCTTTTGTGTGAATCGATGCATACAATTTCATTTTGTAACTAGTGGTATTAATGTGTGCATTTTGTAATTACAAGTGGTGTTGTCATGGTCCCCAGGTGCTGTTGTGGTCCTTGATAACGAAACAATTTTTAACTATTTTGTTTTGTTATTGCCGATGTTATGTCTTGTCGTGTGTTGCGTGAAAATGTATTGACGTTATTTTTTTTTATTTGTACCAGGTGAGCAATGTAAAGAAGTAAACTATTCCATGTTTGATAGTAGGAATATTAAGAGTGCCAAAAAAGATAAGTTTGCCATTATTAATCTGAATGACTTATATAAAAAAAAATTCATGAAATGGGAGTGTCAATAATGATGGTTCAATAGAGGGGAATTGAGAGGTTGAAGACTATAGTGAGTATGTAGACGTTTCAGCTGATAATGTAGATTTCGTGAATATGAGAAGTTAAAATAAGTGTACACATCCCAAGTTCAATGTTGAAGTAGATACAATGAATCATGTCTTCAAGTTAGGGATGTGTTTTAGTAATGCTAAGAAATTTAAAGAGTCTGTTAGGAACTACATTAAAAAATTGGGAGATAGGAAAGGTTCATTAAGAATAAACCAAATAAGTTGAGGGTAGTGTGTCCTAAGGGCCGTGGTTGACAAATATATGCTTCTAAAGTGCATAGAAAGCATACATTACAAGTCAAAACCTCATGTAATTGAGCTCTGTATATTCCTCAAGTAAGCAACTAAATAGTTAGTAATCAAGTTTGTGATAAGTTGAGGAACAATCCTACATGCCAAGTGCTTCAATGAAGATAATAATGGAGTCTAAGAATGTTTTAAAGCTATCAAGGGTGATGGTCTACAGAGCTAGGGCAACACCATTGATCACATGGAAGGAAGAGCAATTTGGGTTTCTTATGAGCTATTGCCAATAACTTTTTTATGCCGACCGAGGATCCACATGTGTAATCAAGACTGAGGCATGTCAAGACCAATTCAAGTGTAGAGTAGTCTTCATTTGTCTGGATGCATTAAGGGGTTTTCTAGAATAATAATATAGATGCTTTGTAGGGTTTGATGGTTGACATTTGTCGTTAAGATACAATGCATACTTCTGGTAGCTCTTGGGATAGATGACAACAAATGTATCTCTTTGCATGGGTAGTAATGGGACAAGAAGCATACAAGACATGGATTTAATTTATTAGTATGATTGCAGAATCTGTTGTTTTCAGACCTTGAAAAGTTAAAGTATTGTGCTTTCTTGTGTGGCAAGCAGAAAAATTGGTGCAAGCACTAGCAAATTTAATACCTAAAGAAAAACATAGATTTTGCTTGAGGCATCTTTATGAGAAAGGATTTGAATTTAAAAGTTGTTTTGAAAGGATGCCATGGTAATTGGATAGTTGATTATGAAATGACAATGGAAGAACTTAAGGAAGTTAATGAGAAAGCTTATGATTGATTGTCTTGGATGCTTCTAGTATAATGGAGGGAGTTCGACTTCAAGGCAAGCTCAATATGTGACCTGTCCTTGAACGATCGGCGTGAAAGCTTCGGTAAGAGTGTACATTGATGCCATGGACAAGCCTATTATTACAATGCTTCAAGCTATAATGCAGCTCATGGAGAGAATCATACGCAAATTGATGGGATGACTAACTACACTGATGTGGTGTCCTATGATCTATGAGATATTGTAGCTTTAAAAGTAGTTTTCGGCATTGTGGATTCTTAGCTAGAATGGAGAGAATCAGTTTGAATTGAGTGGGCCATTTGAAGACAAGAGAGTTGTTAATATTAGAGTCGAAACATGGAGTTGTAAAATATGAGACATCAGTGTAATCCTTTGCTATCATACTGCGGTTGCTCTTATATACACAAGGGAAGAGCTTGAAAAATGGGTTATTATAATGACACCTATTATGGTCTAATCCACCATAATTCCCACACAGGATTGTGGCATTCTGCTTCAACTTTGTTCTCACAAACTCTTGACAACTTTCTTCTTTCTTTTTCTCAATTTCTTATTAGTTGTTTCATTCACTTTGCTCTTTCTTTCTTTTTTCTATCAACTTGCTTGGACACATTTGTTGTGAGTAATGGCTCTCTAAAAGGTCATGTTTCATTGAGATATAAAGCATGCACAACATGGCTGTAGGTTTGCATACACGTTTCCTTATACAAATATGTGGGAACTCATTTTTCAAGCAATTCCCTCACGTACATAAGAGCTGCCACAACACAACAGCAAGGGATTCTACTAATATCCCATCTTCTATAATATTAACAACCATCTTATTTTAGATGGTCCTGTCAATTTTAAATCATCCTCCATATTCTAGCTAGGAATCAATGATGCTGGAAACCTACTTTTGAAGCTCCAATATATCCCAGATTCTAGGACATATCACATAAGTGTTGTTAGCCATCTCATCCCTTTACTTATGAATCTCCTCTATCAACTGCGCTCTTATAGCTAAAAGCATTGTGGGGTTAGGCTTGTCCACAAAATCAATGATGCTCTTGTTAAAACTTTCACACCAGTTGTTCAAGAAAACGTTAAATTTTGAGCTGCCATAAAGTGTGACTTGCTCCATTGCACTAGAGCCCTATGAAAAACCTTCTCATCAATTGCCTTAAGCTTTTCCATTACTAATTCAAAATCACATATCCAAATTGCCTTTCCCGCCTTCCAAACCAATTTCCTGTCCATTATGATGTAGCCCGAAATTCTCATAAAAATGCCTCTAGTAAACTCTATGTTCGGCTTTAGACATTAGATTTGTTAGTACTTGGACCAATCCCTTTTGCTTATCACACAAGAAAGTTTGGTACTTAAAAAATTTTCAAGGTCTATAATCCCCACGTTCTACTATTATACTAATAAGCTAATGTCATGTCTTGTATGTTTCTTGTCCCACTACTACTCATGCCAAGGGATACAATTAATTGTTGCCATTTATGCCCATAACTACCAGACGCATGTCATTGCATCCCGATGATAATGGCAATCATCAAACCCAACAAAACTTCTACATACTTCTGTTAACCCCTCAATGAATCTAGATAAAAAAACACTCATTTACAATTGAATTGATCTTGACATGTCTCAGTCTGGATTACACATGTCGATATCGGATTAGCATCAAAAAGTGCTTGGCAGTGGCCAAAATTGCTCCTCCTTCACTATGATCATACCCATTGGTGTACCCTTAGTTTTGTAGACCGTAGCCCTTGACAGTTTCAAAACATTCTTATAATCCATTATTATCTTCATTGAAGCACCTTGCTTGCCATGTAGGATTGTTCCTCAACCTATCACAATATTTACTTACTAGTCATTTATTACTTATTTGAGGAAGATCTAAAGCTCTACTACATGTTTGTACATGCTTGAAGGTTTTGACTTATAAAGTATGCTCCCTCTACGCTTTAGAAGCATATATGAGCCAATCATAGTCCTCAGAACACATTGCCTTCAACTTATTTGTTCATTTAATGAAGCTTTCACTTCTTCCATTTTTTATGACATAGTTCTCAATACTCTTTAAACTTCTTAGCATTAATCAAGCACATTCCCAACCCGAAGATAAGATTCTCCATATGCACTTTAGCATCGAACTTCAGATGTACTAAAGACATCTATATTATCATCTAAAACATTTACATACTCACCAGTCTCTCCAAACTCCCTATCCTTATCCCTCTCCACTAAACCATCACCATTAACACCCTCATTTTAAAAAAATTCTTCCATATAGTCATCTAGATCAATAATGGCAAACTCATCTTCTTCAACACCCTCAACTCCCCTGCCATCAAACAAAAAGTAATTCATTTCTTCACATCTCTCACTTGGAACAAAATGGAAGTAAAAATAATGTGAAGTAAAAATACATGATAAGTCATGCCCTAGAAAAAAAATAAAACAAAACAACAGAAAACTACAAAACTGGTACTATTATAGCACCCAGGTACCACAATGACACCATTTGCAATTACAAAATGCACACATTGATACCAATTGCAATTAGAAAATGCAACTCACATACATAGAGCTACGTAAAAGGAAAAATGATACAAAGACAAATCCAACCAAACAAACCAAAGTAGCACTAGATAACAACATAGTTTTTGTAACATCCCTGTAATCGATCTAGGCAACATGCACCCGAGTTGTCAACCTGTTGGTTCAACTAGTTGCAATCGCTTTCTCTCTAGGTGAAGGTAGGATTTGCTGGACTCCTATTGGAATATTACGGGGATTTGGAGATTTGGGTCTACTTTAGGGAATCAAACAATTTTAGGTTCAAATTTAGGAAATACGGTTTAGATTTAGAAGATTTCGAACGAAAATGCCCTTACCAATGATGAGAGAAATGGCAGGTGAGATGCACACGGTTGTCATCTGATGAAAGTTTGTGCTGCCGGTGATCTGGGGGGTCAATTGAGACGAAGTCACCAACTTCAGTGGCTTCTTTGCGACAAACACCACTTTGGAAGTTACTTTGCAAAAATTGCCTTCAAGGGTTTTTTTTTTTTAAAGCTTTCCCTAGCTCTGCAGAAAATAAAACTTACGATTTTTGTGCTTTTCATGGTTGTGTTCCTTACCCAACAAGAAAACACCAAAGCTTAAGCGTTTTTCTGTTTGGAATGAGAAACAAAAATTGCATTCATCCCGAGCAGAACTGGAACTCAACTGAATTTATACTTGAAATTGAACAGGCTAGACCAGTCTTGTTAGTTCTCGGTTCTACCCTAGACCGTTGCTCACCCATACTTGTACACCAAGCAACCATGTCCACAAATGATGCTGACTAAGCAATTTCCATCAAGTTTCCAATTGTCAAAGATTTAAATCCAAAAAACAAAAGCACAAGAACTAAGTTGATAACAAAACGAAGTCTAGGGATCAAACTGAACTCCCCAACTATTGAGTTGTGCTTTCGTGAATATTGAGGTTGCCACCATTCAAACTACAATTGATATGCGTCCTGCCTTATTATGCTAAATTCTGCAAAGAAGGTTCCAGCATATAAAATTTTATAGCTTGCAAGAGACGAAAATACAAAAAGGAGAAACTATAGCTTGAGGCTTGAGAGAGACAAAGGTACGAAAAGGAGAAACTATAGCTCGAGAGAGACAAAGGTACGAAAAGGATCAAAGGAAGTTTAGGTTCTCCGAGGGTAACAAATGATTCCCTAGAAAAGTTGTGTCAACTAACAACTATTTCAATTTTTCTGGAATTTGGTATACAACGAAGTCAGTTAATGACGCTGGTATGTGTACTCAGAAAGTCATGAAAATGTAATAAATTGTGTGGCCTGTGGTCAGGTTGAACATCTGCCAAAGAAAATCCTATTAACAACATCGACCGGCAAGGCATAGGCTGGGTCTATGGCTTTAAGTCCTGGATATTCAAGAAGGGAAAGACCTGAAATCACCACCAAGAAAGAAAATCGTTGAGAGTTTGATGAGCACCATAAGTCATCAGTTACTGCATACATTCTTGACCAATAAAGACAATCTCATATCCTTCATGGACGACTTTCAAATAAATAAGATATAATTCAGATCTAACTATATTTCTTCAGGTAACAATTTAAAATTAGTGGATGAACAGACATCCATTTCCACTTTCGGCATAATATCAAGAACTCCTCTCCTGAATTCACTGCTAATTGAATTTGATAAAGCCCATTCAAAAAGGAGAATGCAAAGGAACACGGCAAAATCGTAACCATTACTTACCAGCCACTCCAAAATAGGTATGGAAAACATCCACAGCATCATCTGGCCGATCAGAAATTCCACCCTTTTCAGTGTCCTGAAATAGAAGGCCATGAAATGAACATTGTTCCCTCAAACTCAAAATTCAGGTAGTAAACTCATATCCTGAAAGTTTTCAATTCATCCTAGAGGATGCAGTTGAAGAACCTGACAGTCTAAGATGAATTTGATAAGCTTTTCTTTGTCAATCCAGTGAACTCTGTCGATCATAATCAAGCTAGAAAGCACCCACCAGGAGTAGCAGACCTGAAACCATGCAACTGGATCAGTGAATAATTTGACAAAATGGTCAGCGTATAATAGTTTAATCTAATCTGAAACCCACATCAGCAAGTTTTTCAGGGCGGCCATTTAAACCTCCAGATTTGACTTGTCGTTCGCATAACCACCAGCCAAGAAGGTCCTTGTCGATGTGATGTAGTGAACCCGTGATAGCCAGAGCACCCACACAACAAAATACTGCAGATGTAACCAAGTAAATCTCCACTGCAGATTGTACTCTTATTCATAAACTCAAATCAATAAAACAAAGAAGGAAGCCACTTCAATGTTGGGCTTTCTAAGGAAGGAAAAAATTGGGGTGGGTTTGCCTCTAACTTGTGCTTCTAACTTTAGCCTCTTGAATCATTTTGTCATTTGACATCAAGAAGTCAAAATCCAATTTATGAAAGCTAAAAGTAGACATAGAAGCTCATTTCTCTAGTTTTCAGCTTGTAAGATCGAGGACAATAAAAGTCGAATATGGTAAAAGAGTACCCTACCAAAGCTAGGTTGATAACCAACATATTTATCTCCATTAAAACAAGTAACTATTTTCCTTTAAATCCACAAAGACTTCTCTCTTCCCTTGATATTTCACTCCATATCCTTTTATCTTTCTCATATTTCTATCATCTCTCGCTAAAAGTGAAGATGGAGATACTTCAATGCAGAAAATCAGGAATAACCACCCTTTTGGAAAGGAAAAACCCACTGCATTTAACAGTGAATAAAGTCCAAGCCAGCTGATTCAGCTTTGAATAAAATTTTCAAAAAGACATCCAGCTTTGTAACCATTTTGCAGTGTACGTTTAATTACCAAAAGCTCAGGTTTCCTTCTCACTCTAAAACAATATGCAATATTGGTTGGATAGGACGTAGAATGGAATCCCACCAACGTAATTAGGAGACCACCATATATATAAGCAACTACATGACTTACTAAGCACCAATCAGAAATTAGAAACCAGCTGAAGAGCTCCGGCAAAAGGTTATGACATACTTTGCCCTGCATGAGACTCTGCACCAGGAGTGCAACCAAACCCGCCATCCAAAGTTTTGCAACTCACTATATATCTGACAGCCTTCTCCACATTTATTGAATCCAACCGTTTAAGTATCGCAAGACAGCATATAGCACAATAAGAGAACCTTCAAAGGGAAAAAAGGGGTGCAAAAGGATGTCAATTATTTGAGAAACATCCTCAAGAAGCACATAAATTTTAATTGATCAAAGACGAGGACAAGACACCGAGTATCAACTTCTCCCCATATATCCCCAGAGAAAGATCCATCTTCGTTTTGCAGTGCTCTGATGTCTGAATCATAGTTCAGGGACAACAATGTAGAGTATTTAATACCGGAGATTATCCAACAATAGCAACTTCGATATCCATAGAGAGAGCCCCCTCATCAATGTTTGGCTAGCAAAACACACACTATTAAGTAACTTTAATCAAAATTTTACAACATTTAAAAAGTTGACATAATCTGACCTCTTACATGCAAAACAGAGCCTAAGGTAAGTTTATTACTCTCATGATGTTGAAAACCTAAAAACATAATATAACACCGAGGAACTTGCAACTATGGTAAGCATTAGGCAAAGTAGGACACTTCATTCCAAAGGATACAATCTGTCACCTTGTTGATGTCAAGAACATCTAACTTGCCAAAAAGGGCCAAAACTTGCACAGCACTGAGTGTATACAGCAGATGCGGATCATGTCCAATGTTTCCACCAAAGCCACCTGAAAAAGCAGCCCTACGTGACATTCGCACTTTGCCCTTTAGAGTGAAGTTATAAAAAAAAATGAATAAAGCAACACTAATCAACCCTAATATGTGGTCATTATTGTAATAAATGGAATTCGTTAATCCCAAGATAAAATGTTGATCATTCTTTCAAATAAGAATTGTTTGATCGGAATGCGGAGTGGAGGTTTTTGTTAACTGCATGTTTTTCGTGGGCAATCAAGAAAAGAAGCCAAGAGACAAATAACTACGAACCAGACTCATGCTGGCATTGCAGGATCCACGAAACAACTTCATTTGAATCCACAGTGTCAAGTTTTCCAAGAAGATCTAGAGTGGTCAATCCCCAATATGCTCCATTCAATCTCAAATGCTCCATAACCACCGACTCAATACTATCCTTTTTCTGGGTACAAGATCAACCCAAAAACTCAAATCAGTAAATTCCGAAATGCTGAATAGCAGATCCAGATAAACCAAGTCATTTTCAGTAACCGACACGAGGTGGAAAAGAGAACAAGAAGAGGATTGTAAAAATGTCATACCTACCTTTTCAACAGACAATATGTACTTGACATGTTTATCACCGACGAACTCCCCCATCTGTCAACAAGAGACAACATATTTATAACCATGGAATCAAATCTTACACATGCCACATAAGAACTCAGCAACTCATCAAGGATCGTAAGGATCCTATAAATTTAACAAAAGATTATTTTCAACTTTGTTTTGAGCAATCGCATGCATATTTAACAATGAAAAGAGGGAATGAAGCTCATCTCCATTTCTAATAGGCGAAGATGTGTCCATGCTCAAATTGCTCGCATTCCCAACATCTGACTCAAGCATAAGATAATCTCCAGTTCAAAGAAAGCACGCCATTTAGACAAACAAGTACGTTCAACAGAAGTAATTCAACGGACACCCATCAGCAATTACCACTCGAAAACAACTACCACACAACATATCTGAAATTTCACCTTCTTATACTACTATCTATCTTGATTACCACAAGAGATCTCCCTCATTTTCTTGCTACCCGAGCTAGAAAACCGCACAGCTCCAGGTTAAAAGAACATCTAATCAGCAAGAACAGTCACAGCATCAACGAACATCAATCCAAATCAACGTGAACAGAACAAAAAAGGAATCAAATTGAAGAACAGAAGCATCCGGGGTGACGATTCAAAGCGGAAAACACGCAGAAGTTCCCCGAGGACCTTACCAGTCGATCGAAGAAGACGAACTTTGGTGAAAATGGAGATGTGGGTTCGATCCAGAACCCAGAAAAGAACGCTCGTCAGTCGACTGAAGATTCCGATTTCTTCCGACTGCCCCAAGACCGCTTGGCTTCCCTTTCGTAGCAGGCTCCGATCTTCTTGAGCAAGGAAGGCTTCCTCGTTTCCGAAATCAAAGCTTTAAGAGCTTTCAGTTTTGAAGCTTACAAATTGGGCCAACAGAAATTGGGCCCAAATTTTTTTTTGCTGAATTTTACCGTCTATTATTAGATATCGATATAATATTATTGTTAGGTCCATTTATACGTGATGTTTTTTTACGAACAAGTCTCTCTACCGGACTAAAAAGTATTTTACTCATGAGCCTAGCATTTGGTCGCATCGAATTTTAATTAAGTCGATCCAGGGTTCGTTAGTTTTGCGGAAAATTAATAATTTTTAGTCGATCCAGGGTTAGTTAGTTTCATGGAAAATTAATGATTTATAAAATATTTCCCTGAAAATGATCGCTTGTATCGTTTGATATAATTAATCAATGACAATTTTTTTCATTATCGACAACAGTTTATATTTAAATTTTTCTGCGAACGATGAAATATTTTTCTTTCATTCGTTCATTCATTTTTGTAAGCGATGCAAACGATCATTTTTAGGAAAATATTTTCCAAATCATTCATTTTCCGCGAAATAAACGGACCCCGAGTTTTGGTTTAATTTCCTTGATTCTGTGTACCAACATAATATAGTACAAGCACAACACTAATATAACCCGACATTAGTACTATAGAAGTGCCTTTTGATATCATTTCTAATATTGGGAAATTGACGCTAAGAGTCCTTAACTTTTGGCTCAATACGTAATGTCATCCTTGGACTTTTAGGTCGTTCAATTTGGTCCTTAAACTATTCCTAAATATTCAATACAGTCTCTAAACTTTCAATTTGTTCACTCTAGTCTCCCAAATTTTATAGCAATTTCCAATTAGTCCTTTGGTACTACTCACAAGTTTTCATAACCACACCATTACTCAGAATTTAGAATATCTTATCATTTTAATCATTTCCCAAAATAAAATAAAAAATCAACACATTTTTACCTTGTTCGTCTTTGTAAATATCACAATGGTTTTGTTTAAGAAATTTTAGTTTATGATCTCCATAATAGTAAAATTTTAAGTTTTTTAATCAATCTAAATCTTTTTCCTTAATTTGTAGATTGATAAAATTTTCAATGTTTTGTGTTTTGTGTTTTCTAAACAATGAGGATAAATATATCAATATAAGTACGAATATCTATAAATTAATTAATGCCGTTTCTAGATATCTTTATGAAAATCCCTAAACATAAAATAGCAGCAATATTAAGCCAATACAAATTAAATGAGGTTCTATTTTTATTATTATAGAGATCTTAAGCTAAAATTTACTTAAATTGAACTATCGAAATAATTATAAAGACAAAAAATATAATGAAAAGATAGCATATTTGATGTTGATGTATGAGAATGATTGAAATGAAAAGATATTCTAAAATCCGGATAATAATGTTTTATGAAAACTTATGAACTAATTTGACTTTGTTAGAAAGTTGAGAGACTAAATTGAAGAAATTGAAAGTTTAGGGACTACATTGAGTATTTAGGAATAGTTCAATGACCATACTTAAAGAATTAACTTTACCAAAAAAAAAAAAATACTTAAAGAATTAAAAGTCCAAATGTGACATTACACATTGGGTCAAAATTTTTTAATAATGCCCTATCGAAACAAAAGATTAGATAATAAAATAGGCATGTGACTTAGGCGTGCCAGGTTACTCCATTGATCTCAACTTTCACCATTTATGGATTTCAAGCCAACTAAACAAGACATAGGGGAACTGGCCTCTCCATTTCGATGTCGTATTCTCACTTTGAAAAGGTAGATCAATTGTGCGTTCAAGCGCACTTGTAGCGCGGGTTTCAACACCAGTACAAACTTAGGTGTAACCCGACCTTAAGTTTTTTTCCGGAGAAAGTGAGAAGTTTTGCTGATGATTTTCTATATATGGGATGAGAAGTCCTTTCAAGAAATCTTGTCCTTGTTCTAGCAATTCAAGGTGCTTTCAGTTTTGAAGCTCGATCCCTGATAACTGAGCTGTTTTGGCAGGCTATGATGCTGACCGAGTAGTTTTAGAAAAAGAAAAGTCCGGGTTAGACTGAGAGACACCTTCCCTCTGCAGGAAGGCTTAGTTAATCAAGGCTTTAATCTATAGCCTGGTTAATTATTGGACTTAAATATTTTGTTATATCAAAGAAGATAGTCAAGCTGGTTGAGAGTAAAGACTGTGTTCTTTGTGGGAAAGGAAATCTTGAGAATGCACAGAGTTCTAAGGTGTCTTGGGATAATGTTTGCGCTCCAAGATGTGAAGGTGTTTTAGGCTTGAAGAAGCTGGAAACATTGGAATTAAGCTCGCATTCTCAGGAATCTCTAGAAGTTGTTGCCAAAAGCAGAGTCCATTTTGGTTACTTGTGTTAATGCTTACTTGCTGAAACGGATTTCTATATGGTCTGTTACTCCTAAAAGTAACTCACCTATGCATGGAGGAAGCTGCTCAAAGTTTGGTCCATTCTTAGGCGACATACTTGACATGCGATTGGCGATGGACAGGGCACTTCATCTGTGGACTGATCATGGCACCCTCATGGCTTTTTTAGAGGGTGTTTATCCTCAGAGAGCGATTCACCATGATACTGCTCTAGATATATCCACTATTTGGTAGCTGCTGTCATTAATTAGAGATGAGTGGTCTTGCCTACAACAAGATCAGATCTATTGGTGCAAATAAAAGATAGCTTTATGCGGGACACTTTATCCTGGTCATATTGCTGAAGATAGAGTGATGTTCACTGCAAATGCATCTGGTGGCTTTACCCGGATTGATGCTTGGGACCTGGTTAGAGAACGAAGGCCAAAGCTTGTATGTCATAAAATGATTTCGTTGCTTGAGTAGCAATCTTGAATAGGTTGATCGATGCGTCTTATGCTCAGCTGGTCTTGAATCTAGACAACATCTGTTTTCTGAGGGTGCTTTCTCAAAGACGATCAGGTGCTCCTTACTAGAATTGATGGGTATGGGGAGGTACGCAGGAGCTTAGGACACAGAATTCGCTCGATTGTTGCAATCTGCTACGGGAAAGAAAAGCCGTGGCTAGTGCTCTATCGAAGATGGAACGGAGTGGAGCCATAAATTACGTATGGAGGGAGAGGAATGTGGTTTTTCCATAACCATACTCTTCAATGCTCCCCAGTCCGATAGAGGTATACGCATGGTAACATTTTGCTGCGGAAGTTCATATTCAAGCTATGTTACAAGAGAGGAATGCTTGTTTGTCTACTGCAGATAAAGAGTTGCGAAGGAAATGGCTCGGCACAACAAATTATTATCTCCAATCTGTATGAAGCTGTCGGAAATCGACGCAGCACCATTGATAACACCACGGGAGGCTGACGGCGAGCCTCCCGATTCCGAGCCATCACCACCTCACCTAGATGATGCCATCTCCGCTTCAAAAGTTGAAGCCGATCTGGTGGGCTTCTATTGGAAAGTATTCCAACCTCTGTCCTCACTCAGTGGTCATGCTCGAACACTATTGACAGATTGCCCGTGGACTAGGGTTCGTGGGAGTGCTGTCGCTCCAAATTTTCGAATTTTATGTTGCCTCTGAATCTTTTAACGGAAGGATCAATGTGAACAAATAAATCATTGTTTTGGGATTTAATTGCACAAAAAAAAATATTCGGGGGGAACATTGCACAAATCGAGAGAATTAAATGACTTCCGGTAACTTTATTCCACAATAAGTACTAACCGACAAAAGAAAAGTGGGAAGCATATGGGACTTGTCGTCTAAACTTTAGCATCCCTCGATGCCTAAGAGATGGATTGTACCTCACGTAAATTGACGTCATTTAATTTACTCCGTCGAGGCCACAATCATTGGTCTGACTACGTCAATAATACAAAATTTAGGTAAAGCAATAATTAAAGACATGATAATTAAAGACATGATAGGGCTCGAACAGAAGAACATGATGATTGAGCGCCGCTTTCGTGAGAATAGAACTTGGTATTAACCTAAATACTAACTTAGTGGGGTAAACGTGAAAGCTGACTTTATGACTTTTGGTGGACACACGTGATGATCAATACCGACAAATTTCAGGCTGCTAACAAAATGAAAATCATTTGGGCAAAAGATATCGCATATCTCCTTTCCCGTAATATACAAATTATACTTCTTTTAATATATATATATATATATATGTATATATATATATATTTGTGTGTGTGTTTTTTTATATATATCGTTTATTCTCTTATTTAAAATAACTATAAGTGAAGGAAAATAACGGAACGGTTAATCCCTGGGAAAATTACTTCATTGGTCCTGAACCTATAGTAAGGATGCCAGTTTAGCTTTGAACTTTTTAATTTTGTCAATTTCGTCCTAAATTTTTGCGCGAAATTTTAATATAGTCCGTCCGGCCAAATTTTGTTGAAAACCATTGATGTGGTAAAAAAGACTACATTAAAATTTTGGGCAAATATTTTGGACTAAAGTGGTAAAATTAGAAAGTTTAGGACTGATTATATTTTTTCCCGTTAATCCTTTATTTGCGCTTCCTATGTGGTTCAACTACGATTTTCATTATGCAGGATAAATAACAAAAATCATTCACAACTTTTTATTATAATTTATTCTGCGCTTCTATTATTTCGAGCATGCCTTTTGCGCGTTGATGTCGAAAAAGATCTAAATTTTACATCTTTGAGTCTGACTTTTTTAAAGATTTGTTTCTGTAATTCACTAGAAAACATTTCTACTAGTTTTGATAAGGGATATTGAAACAAATCAACAGAACAGCATCATGACATCACTCAATTGCATTGGATGGTCTAATGTAGAGGTAAGACACACATTATTCACTT